TAACATATTCTACATACAGGGTAAAAGTCAATAATTGAACGGTTTACGAGATATTTTACATAATCTAACATATTTTGATATAAAAAATAAAAAATATTTCGTAAATAAAATATTTAGTGTTTGATAATACTTTTATGTATAGAATAATTATAGACAAATAAAAAAAGATACACAGTAAAAAAAATATACAATTTACTACATGCAGCTATATATATTTTTTCGTAAAAACATGTTTGTTGTTTATACCAATTGTTTCGTCTAATTATTCTATACATAAAAGCAAGATCATTGAAAACTAAATATTTTGCGAGATATTTTGTATTTTATATCAAAAATATGTCAGATTATGTGAAATATCTCGGAAACTGTTCAATTCTTGGCTACATTTCCTTATATTTTTATGCAGAATATTACAAAAAATCTATTTACATAAACGCTTAGAATAATTCTATATAAAATATTTAAATTGACTAAATAAATAAGTTTGAAAATTGCCTCTTACAAACATTTCTATGACATCAACTATGCCTCCTTTGAGATACTAAAATTTTTATTTGAAACTTTTTTTTCTACAAACACTTTTAGCGATAAAAATTTGTAACGCTTATTGAAACACCCGGTACATATTTATTACATCTCTATTCTTTCTATATATAATATAATGTTAGATTATGTAAAATATCTCGTAAACCGTTCAATTATTGACTTTTACCCTGTATGCAGAATATGTTACAAGGAATCAATTTACATAAATACTTATTATTAGACTAATCAATATCAAATAATCAAGTTGACTAATGATATTGAAAATTGCCTTCTACAAACATTTCTGTAACATCAAAGTATGTATATCTCTGTTGAAATACTGGAACTTTTATTTGCAGCATTATTTTCTAAAAATTACACTTTTAGAAATAAAAAATTGTAACGTTTTATTTAGAAAACTCAGTAAAGATATTTATACACACACATGTGAATGCTCAGTAAATATATTCATACACACACATGTAAATGATAAGTAATTATATTCATACATACACATGTGAATGATATATATATATATATATATATTATATATATAAGAATTGCATGTAAATATATAAGCCAAAAAACAAATATATATATATATATATATATATATATATATATAATATTATTTTGTTCAAACTATGTGATAAAGATAGACACAATTATGTATGTATGTTTTACTGTCATTGACACGCTTAGATAAAAACGCGTGTGCGAGATGATTCAACAGTAAAAATATATTATGTTGTCTGAAAAAATATAATATGTTGAACACAATAAAATTATTTTTTTGACATGTAAATTGATAATATATGGAAACTGCCGATAATAGCAAAATTAAAATTGTCGACAATTTTAGTTCCGCTTAGATGAGGGCGCTAACCCGTCGGAGTTCGGCCAACGCTCCGGCATCCCCTTAAAACGGATTTAATATAGGTTATATGAGGACCGCGCGAAGCGCGGTCCGAATAGAAAGGCTTTGAGGACCGCGCTTCGCGCGGTCCGAAAAGCTAGTCTATATATATAAGTACCGTCTGTTTGTCTATCAGTATGTACGCGAATTACTTCCGCATTTGTGGACCAATTTTCGTGAAATTGGCACCAAAATGTTGCAAATTTTTCGGGGGTGGCTGCTGTGGGTTTTTTTTAATTTTTTAATTTTTTTTTTTCTCAGAAAAGGGTATGTTTTTGAAAAATTTTTTTTTTCAAATTTCTACGCCAATGTGTTCAGAAATATTGCAAAAAAAGATTTCTTTAAGTTTAATGATTTTTTTTATACCTTTACTTACCCACCCACGCGCCACCCACGCACTTTCACATTAATAGATCGATTCCCTAGAAATTATTATAAAACCTAAATTTTGAAAATTTTTCAGAAATGGCTATTATGTAATTTTTTTTTAAGTTTTACATCATCACTCACCCACCCACGCACTCATACATTTATTGACCGTAAGTACCGTCTGTCTGTATGACCGCGAACTACTTTTACATTTATGGACCGATTTTCATCAAATTGGTACCAAAATGTTGCAAATTTTTCGCGAGTGGCTGCTGTGTGGTTTTTTCAAGTTTCCATCTACCTACGCACACCCACCCACGCATTTACAGATTTATTGGCAGATTTTCACGAAATTGGTAGCAAAATTTCGTAAATTTTTTGGGTCTGATGACTACTAGATGTTTTTTTTATTTTACATCCCCGCTCATGCACCCACCCACGTATTCACGTCTTAATTGACCGATTCTCTTGAAATCGGTACCAAAATTTATTAAAATTTGCAAATTTTTCTAGGATAACTACTCGGTGGTTTTTTAAATTTTACAGCCCCACCCACGCACCCACACACGCACCTACCCATGCATTCATATCTTAATTGATTGATTCTCTCAAAATCGGTACTAAAATTTCGCTAATTTTTCGGGGATGGCTAATATTTGATTTTTTTAGTTTTGTCCATCCACGCATGCGCGCATTTATGGACCGATTTGCACGAAATTAGTACCAAAATTTTGCAATTTTTCTGAGAAGCCTGCTATTCATTTTTTTTGACTACTAATTGGTTTTTTAAAGTTTTATCCCACCCACGCATCTACCCACGCGCGCGCGCATTTATGAACCGATTTGAATAAAATCGGCACTAAATTTTTGAAAATTTTTATGAGAAGTTTGCTATTAATTTTTTTAAGTTTTACACCCACGCATCCACCCACGCGCGCGTGCATTTATGGACCAATTTGTACGAAATCGATATCAAAATTTTGCAAATTTTTTTTGGAATGACTATTATGTAATTTTTTTTTAAGTTTTACACTTCAACTAATCCACCCATGCCCTCACCCACGTGCGCGCGATCCAATTTATGGATCGTGCTAATCGGTCCCAAAATTTTGTAAATTTTTCTGAAAAGCCTGCTATTTTTTTAATTAAATTTTACACTCACTCATGCATTCACCCATGCACGCGCGTATTTATGGACTGATCTGCACAAAATCGGGATCAAAATTTTATAAACTTTTATGAGAATGGACCTATTTTCATTAAATTGGTATCAAAATGTTGCAATTTTTTGGGGATGGCGAGAATTTAGTTTTTGTTTTACACTTTCATTAATCTACCCACGCATCTACCCACGCGTGCGCGTATTAAAAAATGTTATTTTATGTAAAAATGTATGTAGTTATGAAAAGAAACATATTTTATATTTTTAATAAAATCATCTTTTGGTAGTGGCGTGATTGTTAAACGGCATTATTAGGTAAGAGCATTTATTAATAAATTAATATATTGTTTCTTTTTAATTGTAAAAATTTTTAAATTACTTTTAGTGAGTTTTTATAAAAATCACCCCTTAGGTGGTTATATGAGTTCTTTTAACATGTCATTTTATAAATGACTATTTATATATATAAGTAGCTGGTTTCACATATTAAATGTCATCATTGATTAAACGAATATAAATCAATTTAAAAATACAATGTGCGCGACGGAAAGCAGGATAAGAAGGTCGGAAGCAAAAGGACGGCGAAGCACTACACTCGACACACGCGTAACGTGAACAAAAAATATATTTACACTACGAACAACAAAAATTACAATTGTTTAAACCGCACAGAAATTGCCAGAGAATTAACTGATAAGAATAAATCAAAAGAAATAGCCGAGTCAATAATTAATAACCAAATGTTCCGCAAGCAACGGTAATTAAACGTGAAAAACGAAAAAGACAAGCGATCTTTTTCGCAAAGTATAAGCACACTTGATGCGACAAGCAATCGGAAAAGAGCCCCGCGATCACGAGAGAGGAGGTTTATATAGGCCCGTATTTCTAGAATAGTCGAGAACAATTCTCTTTATTTTATCGTTCGGCTGAGGGCGAAAGAGCGTTTAGTGTAATTATTTACTTTCAGGAAAATAATCGTTTTGTTATTATCGGGACTAAATTGTATCTCCTCTCGCGCGACCACGGTGTTTACCATTATCGGTGATTTGACGTAAGCGCTTCCTTTTCGCAGTCGCGGGTATACGTATACCTGTGCGGCCGAGCGCTATTTGAAATAATATTAATATAAAATTAAGCATGATGCATGTTGCATGTGAATAAAAAGACTGCATGAATTTTAACGCAATAATGTTTTAAGCCTTTTCAGCTTGCGTTAGACGTTCGATTTTCGAACATTCCGCCCGCCTTGCAGTATACCTGCAATCGGTTAAGTAGTGCGAGAGAGGGGGCGCGCGCTTGTTCAAGCGCTCGCGAGTTCCGGACACGTGGGGTTCACGTGCTACGACTTAGATCGCGAAAGGAATGCTGAATCGGTCAGCTGTTTATTGCGAGCGTAGCAGTATAGTCGCGTGTCGGTTCTTGTGTCGCGACGACAGGGCATTTTAGAGAAATGAGTCAATCGTGATTTATGATGAGGCGAATAGTTTGGTGATAAGAATAGTGCAGCGATGAGAGGGGTGTAGTAATGAAAAGAATGGAGTGATGATTGATGTGACAGTATGCTGGTGAAGTGAAAGTGCGCGTGCAATTGATGAGAGAAGAACGATGAAGAGATGTGAAGGAAAGGAAAGAATGATATGAACCACTTGACGCCTGATTATCGTAAAGTTTCAGTGACGCCGTCCAGGAAAACAAGTTTACTGACGGGGCGCGTTAAATTCGTACTCGCGGTACGTATATCGACTACGCGCACGTGGCCGTCGGATCCGGGATGCAATCGAGTGATGCACGCGAGCGGCCACCGCGTTGGTGGGGTGTTTTCGCTGCGGAGTAAACACAGCCGACCGACATGAGCCTCCTGGTTGACTCGGGACCATTTTGGCCGATGGGCCAGCGTGTGTAAGTATTCGCTGGACCACCGGGACCAGAAATGGTCCCTCATCTGTTGCAGGAGCTGCCAGCGTGATAGTCGGGCCGACGGCTCTCGTTCGAGCGACGGTTCCGGTACGGCGGAGAGAGCGGAACCGATCAAGAAGTGCCCGGTGTGAGAGCTGCGACGTCCTCAGGATTGTCGGACAAGGGCTGCAGCGGTCGAGAATTGAGGCAAGCCTCTATCTGCGAGAGTAGCGTCGCCAGCTCCTCATAGGTGAGGGTTGCATCACCTATGACTCGTCGCAGATGGTGCTTCATCGATTTAACCGCGGCTTCCCACAAGCCGCCGAAGTTCGGTGCCGCCGGTGGATTAAAGTGCCACTGGATCTTCTCCTGTGCGGCGAATGCGGCGATGCGGCGTCCGTCGGCACTGGCGGCGGAGAAGAGAGCGCTTAGCTGCCTGTCAGCACCCACGAAGTTGGTACCGCAGTCACTGTATAAGTTGATGCAGACCCCTCGCCTTGAGATGAGCCGGCGCAAGGCTGCGATAAAGGCGTCGGCGGAGTAGTCCGAGGCTACGTCGAGATGAACGGCTCGGGAGGCTAAACACACAAAAACTACAATGAACCCTTTAGTTGCTTTGTGTCCGCGGCCCTTCGAGGTCCTCAGCCAAACCGGACCGGCGTAGTCGACGCCGGTGTGCAGAAACGGCCTGCTTGGTGTGACCCTTGGCACCGGGAGATCGCCCATGAGAGGCTGTGTGATGGCGGCTCGCCATCTAGTGCACCTTATACATCGGCTGATGTGTCTTTTTACCAACGACCGACCTCGAGGGACCCAATACTCCCGGCGCAGGGAGCACAAGGTCATCTGAGTACCGCCGTGTAACGTCCGCTGGTGATGGTCATCTACGACGAGGAGAGTGAATGTCGACTCGCCGGGCAGTATTGGCGGGTGAGTGGCATCGTACTGCAGGTTAGCGTGTCTGAGGCGCCCGCCGACTCGTAGAAGTCCCTCGCTGTCCAGGAATGGATTTAGTTTCTGTAGGGAGTTTCGCGACGGCAGAGGCGTTCCATTTTGCAGCCTTCTAATTTCGTCTGTAAATATTTTAGCCTGGATCAACCTCACCCAGGAGAAGCGGGCTTCCGTCAGTTCGTCGGAGCTGATCACGCCAGGCTGGTTTTGCGCGTGGCGGAGCTGGCGGTGAATCAGCAACCAGCGACGGCACCAAGCAGTGATCCGCAGCAGTCGTTTCAGCGAGGAGTAGCGCAGCAGCAATTCCGACTCGGGCTTCAGCTCGGCAACGGCGGCGACGTGGGTCCGGACTCGTCTCTCTGGGAGGTCCTCCGCTGACATTTCCTCGCTGTTTGTCGTCCAAGGACCGCTCTCCTCCGTCAGCCATGCGGGACCTTGCCACCAGAGCGGGTGGTCAACCAGTTCGTTAGAATAGAGTCCCCGAAAAGCACAGTCCGCTGGGTTCTCCCGACCTGGTACGTGATGCCAGTGGGCGTCCGGAATCAGCGTCTGGATCTCGCTCACTCGGTTAGCCACGTAAGTGACCCACGACGAGGGGTGACCCCGAATCCAACCGAGAGTCACAGTGGAGTCCGACCACAGGTGTAGAAGTACCTTCTCTGCGCCAATAAGAGGGACGACGTGGGCGACCAGTCGAGCGAGAAGACTGGCGGCCGATAACTCTAAACAAGGTAAGGATACCTGCTTCAATGGAGCCACCTTGGTCTTCGCAGCCAACAGCGTCACTCTGCTACTTCCGTCTGTGTTGGTTCGCAGGTAGAGGACGGCGGCGTAGGCACGTTCGGAGGCATCGGCAAACCCGTGAATTTCCTGATGGGAGTCCGCTACGCTGCCTAACCATCGGGGCACACTCAGGTTTTCCACTGCAGCTAGCTCGTCCTGGAAACGCAGCCATTTCCTCGCTTCCTCGGTTGGCAGAGACGCGTCCCAGTCAAGGCCCAGCAGCCAGATTGCTTGAATGTTGATCTTGGCCAGCACGGTAGTTGGAGACAGCCAGCCGAGTGGATCAAACAATTTCGCCGTCAAGGAGAGGACCGATCTTTTAGTGACCGCCGAGAGGGTGATCTGATGAGTGGCGAAGGCGAAGCGATCGTTGCACGGTTGCCATCGAAGTCCGAGAGTGGAGTGACTTTCTCCGGGCAGCCACCATCTGGCCTCTTGGTGCAAGCGCGCGTCCGGTTCCACGAGGCTCAGCAGGTAGGAGGCGTTGGTGGACTATTTTTGAGCGTGAACCCGCCCGCCGTGCATATACTCGTCAGCTGTTTTATCATGGTTTCTGCATCCTCTAGATTTTCGGCACCGGACAGGATGTCGTCCATATAGACGTCGCCCCGCAGGATATCGGCGCCTTTCGGAAAGCGATGCTCCTCGGCGAGTTGACGTAAGGTGCGAATGGCCAGAAAAGGAGCACATGAGAGTCCGTAAGTAACGGTGCACAACCAATATTCTTGAATGTCGGTTTTATGATTAGCTCTCCATAGGATTCGTTGCAGGCTTCGGTCATCTGGGTGCACGAGGATCTGCCGATACATCTTCTCGATGTCAGTCGCGAAGACGTAGCGATGACGTCGCCAGCGCAGCAGGATGTCGGCTAGCGAAGGCAGCAGATTCGGACCAGTTGCGAGATATTTATTGAGGGAGTCTCCGTTTGGCAAGGAGCTCGAGCCGTTGAAGACGACCCTCAGTTTGGTTGATGAGCTGTCCGGACGCAATACCCCGTGATGAGGCAGGTAGCAAGCCCCCGGATGCGATTCAGTTGACGAAGGAGCAGGCCTCATGTGGCGCAGGTTCAAATATTGTTGCATGAATTCCACGTACATGGTTTGAAATTCGCTGTTTCTCTCAAATTTTTTTCAGTGTGTTGCAGAGCTCGGCGGGCGGCGCGGATTGTTCCTGAGAGGTCCGGCAGAGAGTCAAGTGTGGGCAGGCGCACGATATACCGGCCGTCTGGAGTGCGAGTATGATGCCGGCGATAGTGTTCTTCGCACTCCAGTTCGGCCTTGGTGAGGATCGGCGATGGCCGACGAACTTCCTCCTGCTCCCAGAACCACCGCACCAAGCAGGTGATGTCCTCCTCGATCTGGCAATGGTGAGTGGAAACACGTTGGCCGCGTGCATTCTCATTAATGGTGCCTGAGAGTATCCATCCTAGAGAGGTCTGCTGTGCCACCGGTTCCTGATGACCCCCCTTTTTAGGCCCTCGCGGATGATTACTCCGTAGACGTCGGCGCCCAGCAGAAGGTCTACTGGATCCGCGGAACGGAATTCTGGATCGGCGAGCTCCAGGTCCTTAAGATGGGTCCAGGATTGCAGACTTCGGCGGCATCCTCCGGCGAAGAGAGTCAGCTTCGGCAAGATCAAGGCGACGACGGAGTTGGACTGATCACCGTTGTGCGCTCGAAAGGTAAGTTGAACCTTGCCTTTGGCAACTCCCGTCCTTTTCTCGCCGAGTCCATAGACGCTGACGGCGGCGGGCATGCGAGGCAGTCGCAGTCGCTGAACCAATCGCTCCGATATGATGGACGACTCTGAGCCCTGGTCGATCAGCGCTCGGGCGGAATGCCAGGATCCGTGGCAATCGAGGACGCGGACTCGAGCTGTGGCGAGCAACACCGTGACAGAGGCAGGGTGCGATCCTTGCGCTAAGTGTGATGTCGTGGCGATCTTGGCGTTGCAGAAGGCGTCGTGCAGCGAGGAGTGATGCCGACTGCCGCACATCGTGCAAGTCCTTTTTGATGCGCATTCCGTAAGCTGGTGTCGACCCAGGCAGTTTGAACAGAGATTTTGATCGCTGATAAACTACCTGCGGGCCATAGCCGTCTTCTCCTTGTAGTTGCCACAAAACATTATAAAGTGGTCGCCCTGGCAATCTGCGCACCGACTTCTGGACCTATCCTTCGGTTCAGCTTTCTTCACGTGATGGCTCCGTGTTGATTTTGCACTGCTGTGGTTGCGGCTGTCGTTCTTGACTGGAAACAGTGCCTCCAGAGTATGAAGCCGTCGCTCGATGAAGGCTTCCAGCTCAGCGTAGGTAGGCGGGTTGGTCGTGTGACTGATGACGCTCTCCCATTCTCGACGAGAACGATTGTCGAGGAGCTCAAAGACCAGATGCACAAAGAGGTCCTCCGTGCGATCGATGGGACGATCGATGCTCTTCAGCAAGCTGACTGTTGTTTTTACGCCGTGGAAGAGTCGCCCCAGTTCAACTGCGGATTCGCCTTTCATCTTAGTAAGAGCCAGGAAGTTGTTGAGGTAGTTTCGGGTTAACAACCTTGTGTTCTCGTAAAAATCGCTCAGCGTCTTCCAAGCGATTTCGTAATTTTCCTTCGTAGTGTTCAGGTTGCGTATTAGTAGTTCCGCATCACCCTTGACACAGAGTTTGAGATAGTGCAATTTCTCAACAGGTCTGGCTGCCTGGTTCCTGCCAATGATGGACTGGAAGAGGTCTCGGAAGGAAGGCCAGTCTTCGTACTTCCCGCCGAAGGTCGGCGGCTGAATTTTTGGTAATGCGGTCCGAGGAGCGGCGGCCGGTGTCGCTGCCGAAATTGATCAGGATGTATGCTCTTGTCGTTGGAGAGCGCTCTTCAGATCGAGCATGAGGCCCTTGTTCTGCAGGTAAGCCTCCTCGCCCAACGAGGGGATATCTTGCTTGGCGTAAACATCATGTCGTATTTCGTCCACACGATCGGCTAAAGTATCATTAATCGCGTCGAATTTCTCCCACAGCTTCTCGAGATTTTGAAGCCAGGCCTCCACCGCGCCAAGGGTGATATTGGCCTCGTCGAACTTCCGAAGGTTTTCGTACGCGCGAGATCTTGCCGTATAGCACTGTGGCTGTGGCAATGATTGCCTTAGTGTCTGCCATTTCTAACACTGTCTCTTTTGTCCAGAAGCACCGGTCACCGACACTGATGCACTATCGCTTCCGTGGCACCGGATTCAAAGGAGGTTCCTGAGGATCCGGCTCGAAGGACCAAATAATGTGCGCGACGGAAAGCAGGATAGGAAGGTCGAAAGCAAAAGGACAGCGAAGCACTACACTCGACACACGCGTAACGTGAACAAAAAATATATTTACACTACGAACAACAAAAATTACAATTGTTTAAACCGCACAGAAATTGCCAGAGAATTAACTGATAAGAATAAATAAAAAAAAATAGCCGAGTCGATAATTAATAACTAAATGTTCCGCAAGCAACGGTAATTAAACGTGAAAAACGAAAAAGACAAGCGATCTTTTTTGTAAAGTATAAGCACACTCTTGACGCGACAAGCAATCGGAAAAGAGCCCCGCGATCACGAGAGAGGAGGTTTATATAGGCCCGTATTTCTAGAATAGTCGAGAACAATTCTCTTTATTTTATCGTTCGGCTGAGGGCGAAAGAGCGTTTAGTGTAATTATTTACTTTCAGGAAAATAATCGTTTTGTTATTATCGGGACTAAATTGTATCTCCTCTCGCGCGACCGCGGTGTTTACCATTATCGGTGATTTGACGTAAGCGCTTCCTTTTCGCAGGCGCGGGGTATACGTATACCTGTGCGGCCGAGCGCTATTTGAAATAATATTAATATAAAATTAAGCATGATGCATGTTGCATGTGAATGAAAAGACTGCATGAATTTTAACGCAATAATGTTTTAAGCCTTTTCAGCTTGCGTTAGACGTTCGATTTTCGAACATACAATTATGGAAGAAAATAATATACCGAAAAAAATAGAAAAAGAAATTGAAGAATTTCAAAATGGTAAATATAAACAATAATTTATTTATTTAAATAAAATAATATTTTTTATTTATAAATTTTTTAATTGTTTTATTTATATTATATTATTATATACTACATATAACCTAATATATTTTTAATTAAAAAATTAAAGTACTTGAAAATGATCAAATAAATCAATTTGAAAATACAATTATCAAAGAAAATAATATATCAAAGGAAATAGAACATTTTATTATATCTACAGAAATTGAAGAATTTAGAGAAATTGAAGATTTAGAAATGGTAAAAATATAAACAATAATTAATTTATTTAAATAAAATAATATTTTTTTTATAAATTTATCAATTGTTTTATTTAAATTAAGATTATCAAATATATAACATATATAATCTAATATATTTATTTAAATTAATATTATAACATCTATATAGGGGAGGGAGAAAAAGATGGCGGCAAGTGGAAAGGTGTGGTGCAAGAGTGCTCCGGAAATTGTGTAACAATAGGAAGGAAGAAGGAAGAGGAGTTTGAGGAAAAAGGAGGAATATTGAAGAACTGAGGTTGGGAAGAGAAGAGAAGAAGAACAAAGGAAGGAGAGGATGGATAAGTAATGAAAAATGAAAGGAAAAGGAGGCAAGTGAAGGATGGGGGGACACAAGGAGAATAACTCGCACGAGAGGAGCAGGAGATGGGTGGAGAAAGAAAGAGACAGGAAGGAAGGAAGGAAGGAATAGGAGGAAAGAAGGATGAAAGGAGTATGGCAGAATTGGAGAAAAAGAAATACTTCGGAATTTCGACCGTGAAAAGTGTACACGTGGCGGGAATCATCATGTCGATAAGGTAGGATGGTAAGGAAGGAAACGAAAATTAGGACAGGTGAGAGGGAAGGAAAAAGAGGGCGCAGTAGAGAGGAAGGAAGCTAGGATATGGCGCGCGCATTACCGCGCAGGATACGCAGGATAGTAGCGAGTAGCGACATAGGGAAATGAGAAGAAAGTAGAGAGCAGGGGCAAGGTGAGAGTGGGAGGTATCCCTATACCTAGGGACCTAGGGAGAAAGCAGAAGGATCTGAAAAACAGGAGCAGGTGTAGGAGAGGTGGAAAGAAGGTGCAGGAGGAGTACGGGAGAGAAGGAAGCGGCGCGCGCAATATCACGCAGGAGAGGCGCATAAGTGAGCACATGGTATAAGAGACAAAGGCAGAAAGAGGTTACGAGGTAAAGAGAAGGCAAGAGCAGGAGAAGGCCTAAGAGGCGGGGGAGGATAAGGAAGAGAAGGAAAAAGAGGAACTGCAGGTGAGAGGGGAGAGAAGGGGAGGACAAAATAAGGCGGAGGAGAGAAGAGGAAAGTGGTGGAAGCTAGTGAAGAGGGAAGAGGTCGAGAAGCAGGGGGGAAAAGGTGACAAGGAAAAAGGAGCTAGGAAGAAAAATAAAGAGAAAAGGGAGATAGAGGAAAAGGTAAAGTGGGGTGAAGGAAAGGAGACAGGAGGAAAAGAGGAAGGAGAAGGGAAGTCAGCGGAAAGGAAGAAAGAAGAGAAGGAGAAGAAGAGAGTTACAGGGAGGAAAGGAAGAGGAGGACGGAGGAGGAAGGAGACAGGGAAGGCGAGGAAGAAGTAAAGGGGAGAAGAGGAGAGGAATTGTTATTGTTATATAACAAATAAGTCATCCGACATGCACACCGAATCCGGCCTACCGCTTTCTACCCGCTCATTCGTTTAAATATTTAAGTTAATAACTCAATAATTATTGCAAATATCGCACACAAAATGATACAGGACTTTTCTATTCAGTTTAACACGCTCTATC